GTTTCGGCATTGGTGCGCTTGAAGAATTTGATGCTGAAGATGAGGACATCTATGCCTCTGGTTAGAATTACTATTTTCCAATTATAGCATCCTTATATATCCCTGTTGGTGGAATCATTTACATAGAATTCTTTTGGTCTCTGAAAAGAATTTCCTACTCTTACATGTTGCACCACACGAAATGAATCTAATATTGTTGATAAAATGATGGGAAACTCAATAAGTTCTTTATCTGTTCTAGTTTTTGAGATGTAGAATTGCATGTATTCGTTCAAGATACGTTCTTACAGTATGGTATTTGCTTTTGCACATTTTCTCCTTTTGGTGGTTATTTAAAATCTTCTTCTTTATTTCTTTTTTTCTTTGATATGAATATTTTTTTTTCCCTTGTATCATGTTTTGAGTGATATAAATGCAATGTTTCCTTATTTCTGTTTGATATGCTCTTCCAAGAATATTTCAATGTTCATCTTCTTGGCTTGATATCTTGGGTTGTAATTTGCCAATGATGAAAATGATGATTGTTAAACTATTTCTGGCTTTAACTCCTACCCTACTGGGTTTGAAGTGCCAAATTATTGAAAACGTGGTTTCTTTGATGAATAATTGTTATCATTCATGTGCTTGCTCATCCTGAGTTTGTTAGTTTAAACTTTAAGCTGAAGGTTTAGAATCTCGTACTGAGTCTTCCTGTTGTTCAGGTTATAACTTCGAGGAAACTTATGTCCAAGAAGATGAAGAGCAGCCATCAAGCTTACACACAGATGATAAGAAGAAGCTAGTTTGGAAGGAACAGGGTGTTCTGCCTGGCTTCAAAGTTGCAACAAATTCTGACTATCAACCTGAAAGGTAATTGTGCATTTGGTGATTATGTATGGACATTGACATGTCTGTCTCATTATTCTGAATGTTTAATATAATCTTAATTTCTTTATATCTGGCAGATAATAAACAAGTAATTTTTTCTAGGGTATCATTTTTTCCTCATTGGGAAATGCAGTGTCATTTTGCAGGACATGGTGACATGGATTGCAATTGAATAATTAGGGAAGAGTGGTTATATAGCATTAGTTTGCTTGTCGATTTTGGATTGATAATTAAAACTAAGGCTGGAAAATACACTGAGGTCTTGTGTGTTGATTTCTCTAAAGCAACAGCTCAATAGTTTCTGCATGGTGCTAAAAACTGCTTTTTGGATCTACGAGTATTAGAACCCAAAGCCCACATTTTCAAGGGCTTGAACTTTCGATTACATTTGATTTAGGTGCCCTGCAGCCATTTTGACTAAAGATTTTTTTGCCTAAATGCTGAAGAAGGTAATAAACAGAAAAAGGAGAACTGAGAAAATGAAATAGAAAGAAATAATGAAGATTGTTAAGTGATGGCCTAAAGCTAGACCGTAAGACTTTTCAAAGTTTCCAATTCTTTGTATCAGTGCTTATGAAACAGAAAAAGTACTGTTATCTTGACTTGAAATCCTAGTGACATAAAGCTTTGTATCCAAATCAAACTACGCTTACTATACATTGGAAAGTAATTTGAAAGAACCTACAGTTCTAATTGCTATCATGGATATCACGTGCTCTATGAAGTAAAATAAAACTGAACTTGTCTGGTAAACTGCGGGGATGAGACTTATACGTTAAGACTACATTAGACTAGTAAGTGAACTCAGCTGCTACACAATAACAATATTTAATTTTTCTTGCCAGCTTGATTGTATCATTGGAAGATCAATAAACTTCTAGCCATCTATATGGTTTGCTTCTGTTATGTCTTCTTGTCTTCTGATGTAACTGTTAATCCGTACGTTGCAAATTGATGCTCAGATTCAATCCTCCTGTAATTCCAAAGGATTTTGTGCCCCATCATAAGTTTCCTGGTCCTCTTGAGACTGAAAAGAAGCTAGCTATTTCCCCTTGTCCAGAGGTTCCTCCTCCTGATGACAATAATTTAAAAATCTTAATAGAGGGAGTTGCAACTTTGGTAGCTCGATGTGGTAGGCTATTTGAGGATCTTTCCAGAGAGAAGAATCAGTCAAATCCATTATTTAGCTTTCTTTCTGGAGGGAATGGCCGTGAATATTATGCAAGGAAGCTGTGGGAGGAACACCAGAAACGTGATGATCAAACCAAGCTGTCATTGGATGGGAAACTGTCTCCAAGCATGAAGAAGATGACAGCAGATAGCCGTGGAAAATTGCTGGGGGAAAAACCTCTAGAAAGGAGCTCCAGGGATATTTCAAGCACATCTGTTACTTCTGGAGTCTCTGTCAACCTCCAACATGATCTTTCAAATACATTTACCAAACCTGAATTATTTGTAAGTGTTGACTTCTTTGTGTGACGTTGCTTTTTCCAAATATGCATGATTAAATTATCTTGGAACTCAAGGCTGAAGTTCTCTTGAATTTTTTGTTTCCTTCTTTGGCTTTCTAAGAATGCGTTGCCTGAAGTTGCAAAGCCTTTTAAAGATGATCCTGCAAAACAAGAAAGATTTGAGCGGTTTCTCAAGGAAAAGTACCAAGGAGGGCTACGTTCTACAGATTCTGGTGCTGCTAGTAATATGTCAGAAGCAGCTCGTGCTCGTGAGAGACTGGACTTTGAAGCTGCAGCTGAGGCAATTGAGAAAGGGAAACAGGGAAAAGAAAGCAATATATCTTTGCAGCCATTTGTGGAGTTTTCAGCCACTGGAGGTTTGAAGTTTACTTCTGGTGGAAGTGAGGTGAATTTAAGGCAATGTGTTGTACTCTCTGTAAATGTTGTGATGGTTCTGATTTTTATTTTATTTTATTTTATTTTATTTGGCAGCAGGTTAAAGATACACAAGCTGAAGATTCGACAGTCAAAAAGATATTCCCTAGAAGGGAAGAGTTTCAGTGGCGTCCTTCACCTATTCTGTGCAAGCGCTTTGATCTTATTGATCCTTTTATGGGAAAGGTACTCCTAAAACTCAATTATCTACTGTTTTGCTTGAGTACATTTAGAAAAAAAGACTAGAGGAGATTCTCCTTTAGATATCAATGGATTCTTTTTTGTGAAATAAATGGCAGTTTGGTCTTCCACTTCTCAACCAATTTGATTTTTGTTTCCTCTCCCCCCTCATATTACTGAACAGACCTATTCCCACACAACTTGAATTTCCTAATTTATAGTAGTTTGTTTTGGAGGAGTTTTTGTCATCTTCATCTTGCTTATTTCTCTCTCTTCCTCTTACCTATCCATCTGAAAGAGTATACAAGGGAGGATAGGGGGCAATTATTTTATTCATCAGTCTTTACTTTTGTAATTTGCTAAAAAAAACAATGCTGACTTTTGCAGCCACCACCAGCTCCACGCATGAGAAGTAAGATGGATTCACTGGATTCACTAATATTCATGGCAGATTCTGTCAAAGCCACAAAATTGGGAGAAGATGTTACTATAAATAGAGACCTTCCTCCCTCCCAAAATAATTCTGAGAAGATAACGGAAAAAGTAGCTGAACAGGAAGTCAAAGTTGAAGTTGAAAATGTTGAGAGGCCAGTTGATCTCTATAAGGTATCATTCATGGAATGCAATGCTATTTGTTGGTTCATACATAAAAAAGTTTGGCATCAGACACAAATGCATACATTAGGGCAATCCTAGTATCACTTTGTTTTCTTTCTCATTTTTAGCATTTATCACTGGACGAAGTGAAATGTCATTTTATGATTCAGCTTGATAATTTGGAGTGAGCTTCTTCTTGTGTCCTTTGTTTTGAGGTGTTTCTCAAAAATAAATAAATAAAATAAAATAAAATAAAATAAAAATAAATAAATAATAAAAAATCAGCAGAGCTTCATGTTTACATGCACATATTCTTGTTAGTGCTTCTGTGCACTTAATATTTTATATCCTTTAATAACAATTCACCTGGTGTTCTTCATTTGGAGCATTTAGAGCATGTTTGGGTTAGCTTGTAAGAGCTTTTACTCTTTTTGTACTGTTCATGAGTGATAAGTTTAAATTTTTATTGGAGGAAAACTTATTGGAGGAAAACTTAAAAGTTGCTTTTAGAGATAAGAAAAAGTGAGTAAAAAGGGAATTTATGAAAAGCTTGGATTTGAAGCTTTTGAGTTTTTACTATTTGAAATCTTTTTAAGGTTAAATAAAAGTTTAAAAATGTAAGTTTTTAAGAGGAAAATTAAACGTATGAAACATAAATAGTGTCAAAAAGCTGAAGCACTCGGAAGCTGAACCAAACGTGCTCTTAGTTTCTTTGTCTTGTTGGGCTAAACGTTATCCTAAGTCTTTGAATTGGATTCTAGTGGACATTCTTGGGTAGCTTGGAGAGTTTAGTTATGAATGTTTTTGTTTACATGCTTTAGTTTTCTTGAGTAGCTTTATTTCCTTTCTCTATCCTGCTTAGTGGTGACGGTGAAAACTTCTGAAAATGAGCGTCTTTATATAATTTGTTCCTTTCAGAAAGAGATTGATCTCTTTGTTCATGTTAATTCTCTGATTAGATAAAAAAATATTTGTTTTCTTGTGAGCTTGTTTCTGCATGTTACGTTTTTATTGATGTCAATTCTTGTATGCCTCATTCAAGCACATAAGCAGTTGGGGTATAAAATTTTCCTTATAACTAGCAAGTGCAAGAATACTTTACTGTTGTTGTAATGATCTTGTTTTGTGCAGGCTATTTTCTCTGATGATTCTGATGATGAGGTGGACAGCCCTAATAACAACAAAGTAGGGGATCCAGAGAAGAAGGTTGAGGCTGCAACAACAGCATTGAACCGTCTGATAGCAGGTGACTTCCTGGAATCATTGGGAAAAGAACTTGGCCTAGAGGTTCCCCCTGATGTGCCTCTCTCAACAAGTAAATCCATGACTCCTGCACAAAAAGCAACTCCTAATGCTGAAGCTCTGACTGCTAAATTTGAAGATACATCTTCTTCCACTTTAAATGCTCTGGGTGCTTCCTCCATAAACCAGGGTGTACCAGTCTCGGAGGATGCCTCATCAGAACACACACTCACAGAAATTGAACTGAATCTTGAGAATTCTTTGAGGAATGGTAGCCAACAGACTAAAGATGTTTTGTCCAAGGATAGAGATAGTAAGGTTGATTTGGAAAAGATGGCTCAAGAAGATAGGAAAGATAAAACATCCTCCAGACATAGACGAAACTGGAGCAACAGTCCCTCATCAGAAGATGAAAGGAGTAGAAAACGATCTAGAAGACATCGTAATAGAAGCAGTGATTCTTATAGTGATTCATCTCCTGATTCATTTAGTGATCATCAGGGTCATAACCATTCTAGATCTAGAAGAAAAAAGAAAAGTTCCTCTAGGGAGAAGAGTGGTGGCAGTAGAAAACACTCGAAAAGTCATAAATATAGAAGCAAGGATTCACCCAGCAGATCTTCCCATTATGATACTGGGAAAGAGCGGTCACAGGCCAAGAAAGAGAGAAGAAAATGGAGGGATTGAGCATGTGTTATCTCCTGTGGTTCCTCTCTTTCATACAAAATTTTCTGATTTCCTGTTTGCATGAAAATATCACTCCTAAGTTGGAAGTTTGATTTCACAGAATCAATTACTATTTTGTGATTCTTAGGGTGACAGGATTAGAGAATCACTGTCGTGGTTACGTAGGTGTTGAATTCATCCCATATGTGGCTTTGTATTTCTGCTGGGGCTTCTTCTGCAATCAGATTGTTCCGTAAAGAGGTATGTTGTGTGCCTGTTGAAACCTCGGGACTGAAATCTGAAAATGGTTTTAACTGAAACTCTTAAAAAAGAGGCAGTGCTGTTATATTATGTGTTTTGTTTGAATAAGGAGAAATGCAATTTTCCCATTTAACCTCCTTTCCTTCTGAATCTATTTTTGGTAGAACTATTGATTGATCGGACGATAAATCATTGTAGATTGGAAAACTATTAAACAAGGCATCTCTAGTCTCTTCCATTATGTTTGCGTTAAGGAAAATGAAGGGGTAAGGAGAAGAAAGTTTTTTAACTAATTAAATTATAAGATATTTTAAATATTGTAATTTGATTTATCAAAAAGTTTTTTCCTCTCCTCTATTCTCCTCTACCTAAACATACTAGTCAGATACCCAAATTAACTTTTCTCTATCATCCAAGAGCTAGGAAATATCAATGAGGCTGCTTCTTCTTTCTTTCTTTCTCTCTCTCTCTCCCTCTTCTTCTTCTTCTTCTTCTTTTCAGAATTCTTGTGGTCTCCAATGTGTAGAAGATATATATTGAGTTTCTTCTTGAAGTGATTTTTATTTTCTGATGAAGTAAAGCCTTGCCATAAGAGCAAGTTATGCATCATTGATCCTTTCCTTTCATGGACCATCTGGATCATTGTTCCTAAATCTTCATTTTCTCAATAAAGGAAACATCATCAATTTCTCCGTTTTTTTTTTCTCTTTCCAGGCAATGCAGGGAAATTTTTTTATTTTTATTTTTTGGGGGAGAATTTTAAGTATACTTCATTCTTCCAAAATGAAATTTTAACAGGTTTGCTCTTAAAAGTATAGAATTGAATTTTATACTTTTTAATCAATCAAACCAAATAGTGATGTCGAGTTGTAAATGAAATACATAATGAAAAGGCTACGAGTGCATATGATAAATAATGGCAATTTATATATTCATTGAAAAGAATTTGTGGTTATTTACATAAAAGAACACAAAAACCTTGTTGTTTACATAATCTCCATTTTTCCAAACTAAAAAAGGAAAAAAAAAATCTTTTTCCAAACAGAAGCGCCTCCTCCAGTCCAGAATAACCCAAACAGAAAAACATGGTTAGTCATGCAAATCCCCCATAAAATTTCCAACATAATAATTTTTTAATTGACTCAAACTCAAGAGCTAAGAAACTAAATTCTTTGTACTCCAACTTATATATCATTGATATCATTAGATGAGTATATATACATAATGTCACAGATTTAATAGAGAGAAAAAAAACAAATAATTAAAAAAGATGCAAGGATATATAAATAAAGATGCAAAAAAAAAATATATATTATTCAATCATTTTTTTTAAAATTTAAATTAATTACCCTCAATCTTGGGTCACAACGACAGAGCAGGGCTTAGGTACTCCGAGGCCCATTTTGCCATCACCGACGCAAACTCGTCGAAGCTAATCATATCGTCACCGTTGCTATCAGGCTCCTTGATCATCTCCGTCAGCTCCTTGTACGTCAACGGCTGTCTCATCTTCGACATTGCACCTGCCAGCTCGGCGGCGGTAATGTAGTCATTGCCGTTTCGATCAAACAAATTGAAAGCCGCTGCGAGATGCTCCTGATTTACCAGAATTTCTTCCTTCAATTCAGGCAAATCAACAATTGCATTCACGAGTTCATCGAATTCCACGAAGCCGTTGCTGTTCATGTCCATGGTAGCCAATAGGACATGAACGTCGTCGCCACAAGGCTTGAGACCTAACGATCTCAAGAGCGCGGCGAGCTCTAGAATGGTGAGGCTGCCGTCGGAATCCAAGTCGAATTTTGCGAATATGTCCTTTAATTGATTGAGCTGTTCGTCTTCAAATCCCGACATTTTGAATATTTTTAATTTCGTCCCTAACTATACCAGAGTACCAAAAAGTATATAAAAATGAAAAGCAAATGGGATAGATTGGGTGTACCAAAAAAAAAAAGAAAAAAAAGATTGGGAATGCAGCAGTTTCGTGTGGCGGTGGTGGAGGAGGAGATGGAGAGGGATTTTGGAGGGAAGGTTGTTGAGGGTCTGTTAGCATTGAGTTTCAAGGTATGTTTACTTATATTTTCCATTTAACAGCAGAATTTGGCAATGGTATTGAATTAAATTAAGTTTATTTTTGTTTATAGTTTTTCTTTTTCATTAAGTAGAATCTGTTTAGGTTATTTAAGTTTTAATTTTATAATTAGTTTTAAGTTTATCAGTAATTAGATTAGTTGGTTTATTTTGATAGAAGTGCAAAACAAGATCCAAGTTACTAGGGGACTGCCTCCCATGGTAGCACTCGTATCCAATGCTGCTTTAAATTGTTTTAAGTGATACAGTCCCTCGAATTGCACAATACTCTTTCTTCTCTGTTATTTAATACATAGTTGTCAAATTAGTAGTATAAACACAAAACAATATTAAACCACCCCAAAAAGAGAAGAAAAAAAAAAAAAAAACTCTAACTAAAAATAACGGGCTTCCTTTGTTAATGCTTGTTACATAGCACATTATACAAGAACTTAAGGCAAGAACCATTAGGGTGGAGATAACGGCGAAGGATGGCATGATAGACCTTGAAGAACTGCTAGACACAGGTTCTGCATTAGCCCCCATCTCCCCTTGTTGCTGCTGGGGTACCGAGGAAGTTGCTGATTTCACTTATCTGTTTTAGCGAGAATGATGAGGAGACTGGACTCGAGTGATTATATTTTGTAGTTGTAGTGACTTCATAGTCAAGTATTTGTTTACTGAATAACATGAAGAGAGATGAGTGTAGCCGACCTATATGCATAGGAGTGATCAATTAAAGCATACTTAACCAAATTCAAAGCATCAGAAGAACAGATACAGAAGAGAGTCTGAGAGAAAAGTGAAGTACCTGAGATGTATAAACCTTCCTAATGTTAAGGAGAGTTGAAAATTTGATCTTGTTTAGGCATCCATAAATAGGTCTAACTTGAATATAAGATCCAAACAAATCCTCAAGCTTAAGTCATGTGGACTACTACCATTATAACAATGGAATATAGGAAGAAACAGCTCCATGTTCAGCATAACTTGTGACAATTACACCCAGCCAGCCACTTGGTCGGCTTGTACCAGCTTCATCCCCAACTCTTCCCTTGGCTTAGGGGAGAGCCCTTTGGCTAACATTTCTTCATCGTACTTCCTGGCCACATCCAGCATACCCTTATCAATTAAAGCATCAATTAAAGCATTGTAAGCAAACTCATTGGGACTATCCCCTAGTTCTTCCATCTTCTTCCAAACCATCAAAACTGGTCGAAGAAATCCCCATCTGCCAAATTTCCGCATAAGCATCACATAAGTGTCCATTGTTGGCCGAAACCCATACTCCATCATCCTATCAAAAAGCACAAGAATCTCTCTAGGCTTCTCAAGACACGCAAAGAAACAATGATACGTCACCATATTAGGCTCATAACCCTTCTTAAGCATTTGATCAAACACTGAATATGCTTCCACAATCCTTCCATTCTCACACAAAAGTTTCATTATTGTATTATAACTTGCAACACTTGGCTCAAAACCCAACTCCCTCATCTCATGAAACACTCGAATCCCAAAATCCACGCCCTCAGATAGACTAACAGCACGAATGACAATATTATAAGCAACCACATCCAATTTCATCCCCTTCCTCTTCATCTCCTTGTACAACTTAACTGCCTTCCACGGCTTCCCACTCTTACACATTATATCCATATAGATTGAATAAGAATACAAACTCTTTTTAACACCTCTTTTATCCATCTCTTCCCAAAATTCTCTACACTTTCCCCACCACCCCATTTTAAACCATCCACGTAGAATCATATTACAAATCTTTGTATCATCGACGTTAAAACCCAATTTCCCCCTTTTACCAAAGCACAAATCTTGCGCCTCAATTACATGCTTATACTCACAAAGTGCATCAACAAGACTACAGAACAAAGTCTCATCCTTTAGATTAAACTCCTCCGACCCATTAAACGCAGTTATAGCATCATTCACAAGATGGGCTGTAATATAACGCTTAAACACTATGCGAAACGTCGTGTGATTAGGCACGGAAAGCGGATCGTTTCGCATTCGTCGAATCAAATCCCACGAAATATCGAACTCGAAAAACTTACCCAGAATGTCTATCATCCGATTGAATGTTTCGGTAGTGTGCTTGTACTGGCACTCTGCTTCGATCCAGTTGAAGAACTCGAGCGCTCGTTTCCAGTCGTTGCTGTAGGAGGAGAGAGTCGCGCGTACCGTTTCGAGGTCAAAACTGGGTGGATTTGATTGGTGCTGAGAGTGGAAAGCGGAATTGAATACTGTGCAGAGCAAGCGAGAGGTTGAGGAGAGAAGGAATTGAATCGGACAGAGTCGAGAAATAGAGTAGAGGCATTTGGTGGAGACTGAAGAAATCATTTTTGCGTTCTGGGAGCTGACAGTGGTGGTGACTGGTGAAGAAGAAGAAGAAGAAGAAAGGCGTTTATTTTTATATTGGGCTTGGGCTTCAGGTGGAGTTTAAGTTTTGAGATTTGGGGTGGTTCATGGGCTGTTCAAAATGACCATGATCCATGTTGGTAAAATGGGCCGTCAATCTTCCCAATAAAAATAAATTTATTACTTTTTAAATTTAGTTACTTTTAATGAAAAAAAAAAAAAGAGAGAGTAAAAATTAGGACCTCGTTTGATTTATTAATTTATTAAAAGTATTAAGTTTTATTATAATTTTGACATTTTAGTTATTAAAAAATATTTCTAATATTTTAATTACTAAGAAGTACTAATTTTCTATAATCCTATTTCTACTTTGAGTACATGAAATACAGTTGTGGAGAAAAAAATTGAAATAGAAAATATAATAAATTAAACACACGAAAATAATAATTAGAAGTATAACATTCACTAACAATTAACACCAAACCTTCCCCTTTGTTAACCAGCATACGATTTTTTGTGGAATGCAACGTAGGGATGGGTTTTTTTTACTTAAAATTTTTCCTTAGTCTCGTAATATAAATAATATACCTTTAATTAAAGAGATAAGTTTAATACAATATACAAAAACTAATTCATAAGACTATCTCTTTTTAGTAAGAGTAAATAGTTTAATAATATTTTTTGTTTAAAAATAAAAAAATAAAAGGGTGTAAAAAAGATTAAGATAATCCATTATTTAAAATATCAAAATATTTAATAATTATTATACAATAAATTTAACAAAATTTAAATTTATATTATATGTATTTATTAAATATAATTAAATATTTTAATATTTTTAATATTTAATAAGGGTGACGACATGCAAAAAAATAAGGGTGACGCCATGCTGCCTGGCGCATGATGCACGTGACTATTAACCATTCATTTTGTACTTCTATCTTGGAATTTGAAAAATGAGGGACTAAAATTTTTAGATTGTAGGATTAAGGACTAATAGTTTCATGGTCGATAAGGTGAAGTGCTGGCCATGCATTTTACCTACTTTTTATTGGCAAATGGTGATGCATCCCACAACATTTTTAGATTGTAGGATTAAGGACTAATAGTTTCATGGTCAGTAAGGTAAAGTGTTGGCCATGCATTTTACCTACTTTTTATTGGCAAATGGTGATTCACCCCACAACATTTTTTGCGCAATATTATTAAGCAATATATGTGCATATTGTCAAAATGATAGATTTTATATTACGTATAGTTTTATGTAACAGTAAAGAAGCTAATTATAAGTAAAAAATTTAGCAGCTGAGAATTAAAAAAACAAAAAACAAAAAATAAAAAAATACATTAACTTATATTATTTTAATAAATTTTTATTAAAAAAATTAAATTATATTAAATTATAAATTATAAATTATATGATTTTAATTTTTATAATATTTTATTAAAATAATATAATTTAAAAATTTTTTTACTTAATTTTTTTTATATCTAGTTGATAAACTCTACTCATTTTTTAAAAATAATTTTTATTTTTTGAATTTTTTAAATTAATAATTTAGAGAATATTGATGTATTTATTTACATTATATTTAAGAAAAATTAAAAGATAAAGTAAGATTTTTTGTAATAATAGAATAATTAATCAAAGTAAATAAAGAACAATAAAATAAAAATATTTATTTATTTTAAAAAATAAAAAAATAACAATTAATTTACTATAAACTTCAAATTAAAAAAAACAATTATTTTAAACTAAAAAAATAATATATCATTATATGTAACATTCCGTATTAAATTAGCTGTGATATTAGGTATACAAACTTTTTAGAGTATTTATATGATAAATATCATAAGTGATCTCATTATCATCATGTAAGAAACGTTGTGGTCGAGCTTTTCCTGTTGGAAAAAGACCAGCTTTTTTTTACTCAAAAAATAGCAAACCGCATGAACCCACGTCATCTGTCTCATGTATTAAATGCGCACAAGGTGGCAATCCTTCATTGGCCCACTTTACTTCAATCATTAAATACCACTTCTGTAATAACAATTACCCCACTTTTCCCCCTTCCCCCCCTAA